ACTGTAAAAGACAGTTTCATGTATACGCGCATTCACTAATGAGTAATGACAACTTATAAGCCATACATTTTCCGATAACGACAAAACGCTTGTGTAGCCTTTAGTCGCTCTCAGTGACTAATAAATTTTTTTGAGGGGGGGCAAAATGGGGGGGGGAAAGAATTTGGGGGGGATGCCCCCCCTTGCCCCCCCCCTGGCGCCGCCACTGGTCCTTTTTGCAGTAGTAAAGACTCTGTAAAAGCCATTTCCGACGTTATAGAGACTCCATATTTCAAAAATTTTCGTTTGGCTCGTGAACGACATAAAATCGTTTGATTTTGGTCATATACAAAAGTGCCCCTTTTAGCCAATTATGCTCCTCCACTTTCAAAAAGCTTCCGCGGCCTCTGGCGAAATCCGTATGAGAAGTTATTTCAGTCACAACCGGTGACATTTTTATTAGACTTTGTCTTTTCTATCTCTACAGAACTCTACAGTATAGCAACCTCGTACACAGGGCTTTTTGCTTCCGCTGTTGGATGGTCAGCCAAAAAGGCCCTGGGTACGAGGTTGAGAGTAGCGACCTTAAGCATGTAGGACGGGAACGCGACGGCGACGGTAAATAAACTCGTTGAACAAAATGATTGCAACAGAAAACCTGTCGTCTACTATCCATCATATGAAAGTAATACATTTTAATGATCAAAATTAACACTGGGTTTATGATTGAGAAAGTTCCAGGAACCAATTTAAAATAGAGGTTATCCCAACTTGAAATGTAAGCGTTGTATACAAGACGTAATAATATTTATTACTGTAATTACTGTATTTTGATATCAGTATATTGATATCAGTATAATTATTGTTTCCACCGTACCGTCTCCATATCTATCAGAGCAAGTTTGTAGTATAAAGGAGCCCAATTTTATAAGCCTTTTGGTTTCTTTTGGGCTTCCTTGCCTTCTCCTATTCACTTATTAAATTTGTAAATATCTAACTTGTGGCAGAATAAATTGATTTGACCACTAGAGAGTTTAAGTTCGACTTCCGATACCAATACCGATACTAACAACATGTCTGCGCATGCTCTCTGCTCGCAAGAAGCACGAGGACAAGTGTATTGGAAGTCACCACTACCGAAGTCGGCCTTGTATTGGAAGTCGGGGGAATTGTAAGATAAACTCATATAACGAAATACAGTAACGAAGCGAAGGAATTATTGGCAAATGGAGAAAATATCGACGAAAATATGAAGGATCGTTTAAACACGTTGCACGATCTTCTTGAGGAAAAATTACAAGTAGTAAAGAAATTTGACGAAGAAATCTTACAGTTGTGCGAAGTTAAAGAAATAGAAAACGAGATTGAAGTATCCGAGGAATTAAATTCACGAGTTCTTCATGTTAAAAAACAAATATCCAAGTTTTTTGCGAAGAAAATCGACGATACGGGAAAAGTACCTATTCACGATATATCTATACCTGATTCAAATACCTCGCAAGTAGAAATAACAGAGGTAGGTGAAATTTCCTCTGAAATTATTAAATGTCAATAATGAAACAATAAACGAACAGGACAATGTTAATTCAACCCAAGATCCTACACCAAGTAACCCAACCTTAATTCACCCAGACCCTAGTAATCCAGCACCCAGTAGTCAATCAAGTGGAAATTACGTCATAGGTTATGGTGCAAAAACGAAGCTTCCAAAGTTAACTTTACTCCGGTTCAGAGGAGATATTACTGAATTTCAACCATTTGGGGATAGTTTTGAAAATGCTGTCCATAAGAATACAAGTTTGTCAAGCATTGACAAATTTAATTACTTATATTCCTTGTTGGAGGGTTCAGCATTACTGGTTATTAAGGGGTTGGCTTTGACTGAAGAAAACTACAAAGTTGCAATAGATATTCTCAAACAACGTTATGGAAATACACAAATTGTCATATCCGCCCACATGGATGAAATGTTAAAACTTCCCGATTGTTCGACTGGAAAGGTACGCGATCTTCGAAGAGTGTATGATAAAATTAATGTTAACGTAAGAGGGCTTGAGGCCCTTGGAGTAAAATCGGAACAGTATGGTAGTCTACTTATTCCAGTTATCATGTCAAAACTACCACCTGAGTTACGAATCCATGTTGCAAGAAAGACTGCCAGTGAACTTTGAAAAATTGACGATATTCTGGAAATTATTCGAAAGGAAGTAGAAGCACGGGAGATCAGTGAGAGTGTTCGTACCACAGAATAGATATAGAGCAGAAGGTTCACTCAAGGGTAAAAAGTGTGCCAGAATGTCAGCCGACTTCCGGCGTGGCCGCCATGTTGAAAGCAACCAAACCAGAGGAAATTTTATAGGAGTTAATATGGCGGAATACGAAGAAGAGGTTGTTCTTTGATTTAATTGTCACTATGAGGATGAGAAACGAATTTAAGCGTGGAATTTGGCCATTGTCATACATCGATTAATTTCACCTCGGTCTTTGGCGAATAGTGATAAACATATAAAGTTATATAGTTATATACAGTCTAGGACCTGTATATGAGTTTGTATGCATTTCATTTAAGACAGATAATCTCAACTGTTTTAGGGTAAGTTGACCATGACGGTCAACATGGTAACGCTGCCCGAACCCCAATCCGGGGCGAAACGTCTGAAACTGACCACACCCAAAAATGACACTTTCGCCATACTGCTATCTACCAAACCATAAAAGCTTTGGCTATTCTGAGGTGCTTATATGGTTCAGAGATGGTACTTTTGGGGGTGGTCATTGGTAAATGTGAAATGCCAAGCACTAATATTTCACAAGAAAATGGCCAAGCAATAATCATAGTTAAAGGTCAATTTGTGGCTTGCAAATTCAGATAAACAGCAGTGGACTTACATTACCTTTTTCCCTAAATCTTTTTGATAGAAACATAAATTGTACTTATTTAAATATATTATCACTGGTTTGGTGTAAAATAGTTAATATTTTCTGACCGAAATAATAATTCGAAATGTGCCTACCTCCTGCAAATGGACGTATTTGGCCAATTTCTCCACTTTACTCCGCTGTTTATCGGCGATCTCGTCGACATCCTACAAAAAATGTAAATCATCTCAGACGTAGTGGTATCAAGAACATTTTAAACAAGTTTCAACTTGGTTTCAAGTAGATCATACCTGTTTAACCATCGACAAGGTAAATCCACAACTTTGTCCAAATTCGGCGCCATTTTGTCATCCCATGTCGCTTGTTAACAATTCAGCCTTGTTACTCTTCCATCCAAGCCGTTTCCATTCCACTAATTATAAATTTAACCCTTTATAACAGGAGGAAACTAAAAAATCTAAACAAAATATAAGAAATACTCCATTTTATCACCATGTAAAATTTTGCTCACAAGTCTTTCAAAACATTCCGTACAAATATCGTGTGACAAAGTAACAGGGACGTGACAGGAGGGGGTGAATTATTTCACGAAGATAGAAGGCTGCGTGAAATAGACTAGTCTAAAAGCTAAATACAATCATACAAATGTTTGTTTTATTTCTTGTAGCGACAAATATATACATATTATTTATTAATATGAAAAAGTCATACAAATTAAATGTTGATTGTTGGTTTTACCCTAATGTGTGGGCATTCCTTTCATTTTTCAAGTCTCTCCCCCCCCCCCTGTCACGTCCCTGTTGCTAAACCACGCGAGATTTGTACGAAATGTTTTGAAGGACTCGTAAACAACATTTTACAGGGTGATAAAATGGCGTATTTCTTGTATTTTGTTTAGATTTTTAGTTTCCTCCTGTTATAAAGGGTTAAATGTATTATTAGTGGAATGGAAATGGCTTGGATGGAAGAGTATCAAGGCTGAATTGTTAACAAGCGACATGGGATGACAAAATGGCGCCGAATTTGGACAAAGTTGTGGATTTACCTTGTCGATGGTTAAACAGGTATGATCTACTTGAAACCAAGTTGAAACTTGTTTAAAATGTTCTTGATACCATTATGTCTGAGATGATTTACATTTTTTGTAGGATGTCGACGAGATCGCCGATAAACAGCGGAGTAAAGTGGAGAACTTGGCCAAATACGTCTATTTGCAGGAGGTAGGCACATTTCAAATTATTATTTCGGTCAGAAAATATTAACTATTTTACACCAAACCAGTGATAATATATTTAAATAAGTACCAATTATGTTTCTATCAAAAAGATTTAGGGAAAAAGGTAATGTAAGTCCACTGCTGTTTATCTGAATTTGCAAGTCACAAATTGACCTTTAACTATGATTATTGCATGGGCATTTTCTTGTGAAATATTAGTGCTTGGCATTTCACACTTACCAATGACCACCCCCAGAAGTACCATCTCTGAACCATATAAGCACCTCAGAATAGCCAAAGTTTTTATGGTTTGGTAGATAGCAGTATGGCGAAAGCGTCGTTTTTGGGTGTGGTCAGTTTCGGACGTTTCGCCCCGGATTGGGGTTCGGGCAGCGTTACCATGTTGACCGTCATGGTCAACTTACCCTAAAAGAGTTGAGATTATCTGTCCTAAATGAAATGCATACAAACTCATATGCAGGTCCTAGACTAATATTAGTTTATAATGTTTTGGACCAGAGTTGGTTGCTTTCAACATGGCGGCCAAGATCCGGAAGTAACATGTGCCGGCACAAAAACTTCAAAGGTTCCGAGTCGAGTGAAGCTTCTGCCTATTTCTATTTTGTGGTTCGTAGAAGCAATTCTAGTTTTAATGACATTCGCAAGCAAAACGAAGTATGGAAACCAAATCGACAGCGGAATTACAGTTCATCTGCGGCAAGTCTATTCGTTAAAGATGGGGAAAATGAGCGAAAGATAAAATGTGTCTGTTGTGGACAATATCATTACTCAGCATCGAGCGAACATGTGAAAGATGTGGATGATCGAAAGGGCATTTTAAGAGATTAGAACCGTTGCTATTTATGTTTGCAAGGTGGCCATTGTGCACATGAATGTGAAAATGGCAGGCTCTGTCGTTGGTGCAATGGCAAACACCATCAATCTATTTGTACTAAAGCTACCAAAACACTTCGAAAGATCAATCCTGAAGAAACAACAAAACCAGAAGCGAAAGAGGAGAAAAAAGAAACGCAGAACCTCACAACAACTACAACGTCCAACGGCTCATCAAAAGTGTTTTTGCAAACTGCCACGACATATGCTTATTCTCAACATAGCAACAGAGCTATTCCTGTTCGAATGCTTTTAGACAGTGGTAGTCAAAGCCAGTCACACGCAACATCTGAAGAAACGACTTGGCATTCAACCAGTAAAGAAAGAAACGCTTAAGGGACTGGTCATAAAGTAACTGCTAGGGTGGGCTGGAGGTAAATCACAAATTTTGCCAATAAGTTTGGTGACCCATCTTAGGATGTAGATAAAAATTTCAAAGCCTGGATGAATCTTACCAATTTTATTTCATGACCCACCCACCCAATCTAAATTGGGAAAATACACTTTTATAATGAAAAAAACTTCCAGGTATGAACATATATCAATACAGTGCCGGTGTATATCTTTATTTTTGTATCTGCGAAGCATAGTATTAACGTTTATACCCATAGCCATTCAGCGACGAGCTTGTATAATTAAGCCAATCAGCGATTAGCTTACATCAATTGTTTACATCCATTAAACTATAAATAACTACTAATAATTGTTAATAATATAATAATTGAGTTTGTTATTTATAGTTCAACGTTTACATCGTGCTCGCACCTAACCTGCGAACGGGCGTAGTTTGGCCTTGTGTAAGTCGTGTACTCGTGTTATTCTTTGCCATATTTTGGCTTCAAAAATATCTTGATTTTATCTTGAATTGGCTGTCTTGTTTTCACCATTCTACTTGTGATATTATTCCAAAGTTATCTATCAACATGGAAACTTATTCTCATCTAGTAAGTAGCCAAATACCACATTTTATTATATACATTTATACAGTATAAAAATAATCATTGTGTAATATTTTAAACAGTCAAAACTCTGGCTGCAGGCATAATTGCCAATTAACAATATCACAAGAAACTAATGTTCTCAGGAGATATTGAATTAAATCCTGGTCCTGTATTTCTGTACCTCTGTTCAAAACAACAGTCCAACTAAGTTGTCATCAAATGTAGTGTTAGAGCAAAGGTAAAGATGTCATCAGTTAAAATTATACTGTATATACATTTTGGTTTTACATAACAGAGTTAATTAATGAAAATTGTTACAACCATTTTCAAATGCTAATAAAAGAATCCCTACCCTCCCTCCTCATTACATTGTCATTTTGCTTTCTAATATAAATGTTTTTGTTTAGAGATTAATACAAGAATGATGAATACATGTACTGATCTACTGGATATTGGCTGGATAATTTTGTCAGAACAACCCACTTGCAAGACAATCTTACCTAAATTCATCAGTATGGAAAATAACTTAACAGCTACAATAATCATATATTATATGGATGGATCAGATCAATGGCACACAATGTACAAAACTAAACTTGTGATACCTTCTACTCAAACAGATATTCTCCCACAACACAAATTGTTTTTGTGTGGATATGCTGAGTTAAACTGAACAGTGTGGTATATCATTAACTGTGCACAGGGTTGGAATGGAATTATATACTTCACTCATGACCTTCAAAACATTCTCTACTATTCAGTGCATGGTCTTCAATATATGATTGACTCTTTGCTACAGTAATGCATGTTCCTCGAATAGTGTGTATGTTACTCAACAGTTAACATTGGCAAGTGTAAACAACAAGTGACAGAACTTTTGCTTCATATGATCACAATAAAGTTTTGAAAATTCGATGAGTATGGATTGACAAGTGACAATTTACTAAATAGCCGGCTGTATAGACACTTATTGCTTGCATGAAATTTTTATTTCCTGACTGCATAATTATCTGTTACAAGCATAATCACATTATAAAATTAGTTAAATTTTCTCGGTGGGGGCAGTTGCCCCTGCTGCCCTCTGTGCAGTGTACAGCCCTGTTAGATTTGTATTATGTTTGATTTTAAAATCTTATTTGCTATTATATTTATCATAATAAGTGATGAAAGCAGGGAAGCTTGTAAAAGTTAGGGGGGACGACTCCCACTAGGCACCACCATGGTTGGCGACGAGGTCCCCCCTGGCTTCCTACGCCCCTGGATGAAAGTAGATATGGGTTTTTGTTTGGTGGCCCAACCGTAGACATACAATATAATTGGCGGCCCATCCAAACTGCCCAAAGATTTTCCATGGCCCATCCCGGCCCACCCTAGCAGTTACTTTATGACCGGTCCCTAACTTGAACACATTTGGGCAGGATAAATTCACAAAACAGAAATGTGATGTTGTTAGTTTAAACCTGAAAGGCAAAGAAGGCAAAAATATCGAAATTTCAGCTCTTTGTTTTGAGAAAATCTGTTCACCTATTCCTACCAAGATTGAGCTCGATAAATATCCACATTTGATTGGATTGGATCTTGCCGATTCCTCTCTCGCCGAGAACAGTCATGATGAAATCGACATCTTGATAGGATCTGATTATTATTACGACATTGTAATTGGGGAAATTGTAAGATACCAACCCTGTTGTGCACCCTCCTTCACGCGTGGCAGTTCACCTACGAGAGGCGCTGAATAAAGAGCTCGACATCCAAGAGTCACTTGGCATCATTCAGCCAGTAGAAGGCCCAACACCTTGGGTGTCACGTATCGTCGTCGTCCCAAAGTCTACGCCAGGCGAGGTTCGGATCACACAGGACTGGCGCGACGTCAACGCACACGTCGAGCGAGAGATTCAGCCCATACCCACATTTGAAGAAGCCACAGACGAAATGGGCGGTTCTACCATCTGGTCAAAGCTGGACATGTTCAAGAGTTTCCACCAAATTGCATTGCATCCAAATTCCAGAAAGTACGCTACTTTTTCCACACCAAGGGGTCTCCGCAGATGTACCACTCTGGTAATGGGATTCACCAACGCTTCAGAAATCCTCCAACGAGTAATGAGCATGGTATTGTCAGGTATGCCCGGTGTAAGATAGATTCACGATTACATAACCATCTACGGTCGCACCGTACGAGAGCACAACGAGCGTCTTGCCGCCTGCCTAGCTCCACCGACTGCAGAAATATAACATCACCCTCAACAAGGCAAAGTGCATTTTTGGGGTCGACAAAGTCACTTTCATGGCCATGCAGCTATCCTCCAAGGGCATCCAACCTTCTCAACAGAAAGTTGATGCAGTTAAGTACTTTAAAACCCTCAACAACGAATCCGAAGTGAAGAGCTTTCTCGGTCTCATCAACTCTCTCGCTCGATTCACGCCCAACCTTGCCTCTGAAGCGGAACCCCTCCGACGCCTCACACGCTTAGGTAATAAGTGGATCTGGGGACCAGATCAGCAGAAATCCTTCCATAGCCTGAAGAACAGCATTTCGCGGGCCTCATGCCTTGTCTTCTTTGACAAAGATCGTAAAACTGAGCTTCGAGTAGACGCCTCGCCTGTGGGACTGGGAGCCATTCTGTGTCAAATCCAGGGAGATGGAACTTCGCGACCAGTTGCCTACGCTAGCCGGTCGCTAAGCGATGTCGAGCGAAGCTACAGCCAGATCGAAAGGGAAGCACTCGCCGTCAAATTCGGCTGTTTGAAGTTCGACCACTATCTCAGCGGTGACCCAGATTTCACCATCATAACCGACCACAAGCCACTGCTTGGTCTCTACAAGCCCCCGACCTCCTCCACGCATCGAGCGTTGGGCACTGCGCATTCAACATCTCAATTTTCGACTTCGTTACGAACCGGGTCCAAAGAACGCCGCCGATGTATTTTCAAGACAACCGACTCCACCCCGAGCTCGAGCTCACGTCAATCCCAGCGAACATGTGGATACCAGAATGATCAATGCCATCACCACAGCGTCACTGCCACAAGCCTGCACCATCGAACAAGTAAAAGAAGCCACAGCAAAGGACGCGACGCTTCAAACAGTCCTCAAGTCTCTCCAGTTAGGCACCTGGAACAAAGACCTGGGTCTCTTTTTTAGCCATCGAAGCGAACTTTCCTTCTCTGACGGGGTCCTGCTCCGAAATAACCGCATAGTTATCCCTCGGTCCCTACAACAAAGAGTTCTCGAGCTTGCTCACCAGGGGCACCAAGGCATAGCCAAGACGAAAGCCCGTTTGCGTACTAAGGTATGGTGGCCGGGAATGTCCACGGAGGCGGAAACATTCGTGAAACGGTGCCAGCCTTGTCTTGTAGCGACTGAGCCAACAAAACCTAGTTTCACCTCACTGAAACCCACCACCCTCCCAAAAGCAGCCTGGTTATTGATAGGGATGGATTTCGTAGGCCTATTTCCCACTGGAGAAAACCTGTTGGTGCTAGTCGACTATTATAGTCGATATCCTGAAGTAAAAATCATGAAGCATATCACGACTGCCGCCCTGGAACCGTGCCTTCGTAGAATTTTTGCACGCTACGGAGTACCCCAGGAAATTGTCACGGACAATGCCAAAACTTTCTGGTCATCCAGGTTCTCTAACCTTATGAGAGAATTTGGTATCAAGCACAAAAAATAACTCCCCGGTATCCACGTGCGAATGGCGAAGCAGAACGGCTAAATCGCAGTATCAACAAAGTGGTCAAAACCGCAATAGCCGAGTCACGGGATTGGCGTAAGGCCATCGACGCTTGGCTGTTGGCCTATCGTACCACGCCCCATACGGTCACTGGCTAGCCACCAGCAGCCATGATGTTCGGACGAAACGTCAACGACAAGCTTCCATCACTACAGCCGTCGGCGCCCATAAAGATCAACCGTATGTCATACCGACAGCACGACACCAACAACATTAAGCAAAAGGGAAAGTGCTACCACGATATTAAGAAGAAAATGCAGCCCAGCTCAATTAAAGTCGGCGATCACGTCCTTATCCGTTCGGAAAAGAAAGGCAAAGTAGCACTACCGTGGCGTGCGAATACGTTTCGTGTCACCGCCGTCAAGGGTGACTCCATCCTAATCGAAGATGGAAATCACCGCCTCATGCGCCACTCTACGGCTGTTAAGAAAATGCCAATAACAGTTACAACTGCCCCAGATGTTCCAACAACACCTCCAGAAACAATTGTTGCTCAACGACCTCGTCGCTCTATAAAACGACAACCAAACTATTACGGTTATAGTTCTACCGCATGATAGGGTTCTAATCCATGACGGGGAGAACTGTAGTGACTGACAATGACCGCTGACCACATGAACTGGGTTATGGAAAAAAGGACATGTGTTAGGAAAACAATCGAACGGACTAGAAAGTTATTGTAAAGTTTATATTCACGTCATGTTTCATTATTATGTTCTATGCATAAAATAAAGGACACAACAATCCCCCAAACGTCAGATGCTTTGCTACGTCCCTGATGGTTGTATTCGAAACCGATTTCAGTTTTAAGATATCCTTAGACATTCTGTAAGGTTCCAGCAAATTACCCTGTTCCAGGAAATCCTGGCCACTACATGAACGTGTTCAAGACTCGGACCACGCTGAATGACGGACAACAACAACCTGTTAATAATTTCGCCCCTAGAGCCAATCTAAAATGTTTTTTAAAGATGGTGCCATTTCATCTGGCGCTAGTAAGGTGAAAGAAGCAGCAGGTCGGTATTTTTGTTGAGGAGAAGCACATGCTTGAGTATATCAGACATCTTGAGAAACTAGAAATTGTATCTATGTCTATGATAAGAGAGAATTCCGGATTGTACTCCTTCGACTCCCAATTCTGGAGGGGGGCATTGAAAATTTTAAAAACTTGGAGGGGGGGTCATCGAAAATTTACCAATAACCTGAACAGGGGCCCTGTAAAAATATGAGCTTTTTTCAAGACATCTTCATCCTCCCCGGCATAATAAATGTACTTTCCCTCCCTATGAAACAACTAAACAAGACAGCATATAATTTCAGTGTATTATTAATATTGATTCCCTTTTTTATTTGATATTGAATTTTTTAAATAAAAAAGAAAGCAAAGTTATTTGCATGCGAGAATTTGAAATCATTTTATTGCAAACTCAAAGTTTATCGATAAAGCCATTTAATTAAAGGCAGTTTAGTTTTATAAAGAACACTTTAATTTAAAACGTTTTGCGAAGCGTTTGTGGTTGAATTTTACCTTAAATTGAAGCTTATATTACGTATAATAATAACATACCTAACATAGATATGTTGGGAAATTGATAATTTTGTAATTAAAAGTGATATTTTTAGGCGATTTTTCATTTGTAAGAATATTCTTAAAAAATTATCGTGTTACCATGACAACAACTTTAGATACTTCATGTTCGGAAAATACAATGGTTTTGTCAGCAAGGCGAGGGTTTCTGCATACATGTATTAATTATATTTATAAAATAACATGTATATAACGCGTGCTCTGATTGGTCGAAACCCATGTTTGGATCAGGCCATCCAAACACGGAAGACTATCGTGTTGTTGTTATTTTATAAAACAATTAATTTATGGTTTCCGTGTTTGGATGGCCTGATCCAAACACTTGGGAATGTTGCTCGAGTTAAGAAAAGGGCGCAAAATCACTCGCCTTCGGCTCGTGCTTTCGCGCGCTTTTCTTAACTCTCGCAACATACCCGCGTGTTTGGATCAGGCCATCCAAACACGGAAACCATAAAGTAATTGTATAAGCTAGCTAGCGCGCGCGCGTGGCTAGATTAATGCATGGCTCCCATTCAAATATAGCCAAAAATACATTAAATTATATAAAAAAATCAGTTTAGTCTGTATGAATGTGGTCAAAGTTGGTATATGAGGACTTTGGATTTTACTTTTTTTCTATGCCTTTGTTGCCATGGCAACAGTCACGTGACCATTTAAATGGTCTCCATGCAAATGACCAAAACAAGGCCTCTGCCGCTGGCGGATATTCACTCAGATAAACTAACATTTACACATTAACGTTCTTTAGTACTCACAGATTATGGATCCAATCAGCCCCTGTTCCTACACCGTTCAGAATTTTATATATTTTCGATAATATGCAACTGACACTATGCTCTGGTGTCAATAAGTGCACATTATTTTGAAACGAAGCCAGCTCGGAGCAGGGGCTTATTCGTTTCGTAAACTGCGAGGTTTCCACTAAACAATAGCGTTGTTAATGTACTAAATTGACTAAAAACCGTTGTCAGCGAAGCAAACGTGTTTTCTTCCACGCGATCACTTTAGTATCGCGCCATCATTATGAGCCCGCGTTGTAAGTTTAGCGGATACACACATAAATATACAAAATTAACATTCCAATGTTGTAAGATGACACGCAACAACAGGAATCTCAAATCTTTACCGCTTCAAAAGCAATAATTTGGCTATCAGAATGAACAATATTAGATTTATTACTGACGACATAAAACACAGATAATATTTATATTGCAAAGAGGATGCGAAATTGTGATTAGATTGCTACTAATGTGAAGAAATTTAAATGTGAAAATGTTTAAGAATTACGTAGAAGACATATAACAACTATAAATATATAGACGAATTTAATAGGGGCATATCGTGTTAAGTAAATCCTCTATTGCATAATTGTAGGTATTTATCAAACCGGAAAATATTATATGAGGAATGCACTATAAATCCGAACGAGATCAATAAAACCAAATATTTTCTCATTTCAGACATTTGTTGATATATATAGTTATTTAAAATTTGAGTCAGCTTTGCACAACAATAATTCGTGTATTTATTAGTGAGACGCAAGTGAATTTACAAACGCTGCATCTTACTATTATCTGCTGTTTGACTAAAAGAGCCATTTGACAGTAACCCGCATAACTCTAATCATAATAATAATATATTAAGTCGTTCGGATTTTGGCGCAAATTTAAAATTGATTTGATATACAGGTACTCTGCAATGTATGAAGTATGGTCCTAAGTTTTAGTTTTGCCCACCCAAAAAGACATTTTGAAAGAAGACATTTTGAAACTTTATTACCCCCACGAAATGACGAATAGTATCAAAACACGCGCGCCTCCCGCGTGGTGCATAAAGGTCAATACGCGGACGGAGCCATGCATTAATCTAGCTAATTTTCTAGTTACTAATAATACATTTAAAAAGATTGACTAGATTTAGGCTTGCTTGCTCCGCTCGACTTTCGGAAATCGTAAAAATACACTCGGCGAGTATTTTTACGCTTTCCGAAAGTCTCGCGACATCCCTCGTGCATGGATCACGCAATTCGCACGGAAAATCATTCGGTATTCCTTTATCAGTGTAAAGTTCCACTTTACACTGTTGTGATGACTCGCGAATTCACACGAATCAGTCATTCATTCAGTCAGTCAGTCAGTCAGTCAGTCACTCATAGAGTAAACTTTCCGGGGGGTGCATACGATTTTTGTAAGTGATTTATTGTACTTAATCAGTGTTTTGAAGGTTATTTAGGCAATTTCAGTTGTCTTATTTTAGTATTCTTTTGTACTTTTGCCAAGTTCACAAATATTCGAGGAATCGTTGTCGTTATTATAATTTTTTGTAAATTTTAGAACATTCGCTTCTCATGTTGTGTAAAGGATCTTTCCCCCGGAACACCCGACTTTTTCCTTAGCCGCTCAAATGCGCATGCGTTATCAAGCCGTAGATCAACGATGGCGTGACGATGCCTACAAAGGAGCGACACAGTGTTGTAGTTTCAAATATATAAATATTTCAGACATTTAATAGAGAATCTGCGCAATATATAAATTGATGTTATGCATTATGGCGCCTGGTTATTCAATCAAGTACCGATATTATTTAGACGATATATTCATTGTACACAGCTGGAAAGGAGCTAGACAGTGCTTTTTCTCAAATGTATAAATATTTCAGACGTAAATATTGAGAAAATCTTTGACATTCCCGGCATTCAATTAAGTGTCGATGTTATTTTGACGGCATATCATTATACAGAGCTAGGAAGGAACGATACAGTATTGTTTTCAAATATATATATATATATATATATATATATATATATATATATATATATATATATATATATATATATATATATATATATATATATATAGGTTAATCACTAGGCGAAAAGCCATAAAGGTATACAAGTTAATCAACTCAACACATTACGTTTCGACTTTATTGTCTTCATCAAATATAATCCTACTTTACAAGCGGACCCAATTTATACCCTCCCAATTTTGCTAATTATGCATAATATGAATATAAGTGATTTGCCATACAAATAACAATATCTTATTATGACTATAATTAACATTGCTACGCATTCTCTATGTTCAATCCCGAAGGATGCATTGTCTTTAGTTTGCTTATCCAAAATGCCTCACGTCTGGTCGGTTCCGCTGGGTCAGTTTTATCAATTAAAACAATCTCGCAATCACTGATCAATCCATTACGTCCATTACCCAAGAAATGTTGATGGAAAAACATTTGTCTATAGACCTCGTCAGGCCAATGAAATTGATATCATGTTTCTCGTCCCCGCCCGCATGGGATTTATCTGCCGCACGAAAATTTTTCATTATTCATTATTTTGAAAAATAGGCTTAAAAAACACCAAATTCATCTCCAGATCAAAGTCTTATTGCTGCATTCCGCAAGCGCAACTCAAATTGTATCTTTCTAAAGATATTACTCGCCAGAATGCCTCTATTTTTCATGTCAGCCCTGGTATGTGCAGAAATATACTGTAGTCTGTAGACTGTAGGGTAGGACGTATTAAATTAAAATGAATTATACACCAATTTTTAATACTTCAGATTTTTATGGGTTTTTTACTGGGTCAAGGAAATTTTTGACAAGCAGAATTCAAATACAAAAAATAATGAAAAATGAAAAAATCCCGCTCCAAATTTTTGAAAATTGTGGACGAGAAACATGATATCAATTTTCATTGGCCTTATTAAAGGTGATGTAAAGTCCGTAATGTAAACAACGCTTTGTTTACATTTTGAACTCAGTGCTACAGTTGTAAAATATGTTTAGATATATATTATACTGAATTTTTAACGCTCTTCCGGTTCGCTATGCTTGTAAATGAATGCAGACTAGAGATTCAATTCAAGAAAGTTCGGAAGGTGCGAAATATTAACAACATTCCAAAGGTTGCTCCCCCACTGATGGAATGTGTTGATGCGCAGAATATATGCGCAGAACGGACTT